GGTCATCTTGATGGCAAGAACGTACCCAGGAATATTATGGGGTGTTCTACTAGAAGGCACCTTTGGAAATGTTGAGTTTACAACGGGGTCATTAAGGTGATGGGTCATTAAGGGGAAAGCATGTCTCTCTGGGCATGAAGGGGACAGTGACTTCAACATCTCAACGTGACAGATTTTCCAGAAAGGAGCCCTGATCCTGGTTATTGTAGTATGCAGTTTCTAAGAACACTGTTAAGTCCTTTAAAATCTTTTCATACGTCAGTTCTCCATATTTGAAAGGTTTATGACTGTTTCTGCTGGACATAGACAAGGTTACGCTGTTGGCAGGCCTAAATATGGGTGATAGAACATTATTATCTTTCTAAACCAATCACGCACTTATCAGTTGGGACTGTTGACTGAAAATTGTATTCTGACAAATTGTTGAAATAGATAGTAATAGTTTTGAAAAGTAATTAGCGCACGGGGGAAAAAATTAATGGGTTTAAAACCAAATTTCCCTCAAATGTGATGTATATGCATAATAATAAATGCTGAATAAAGTCTGCAAACATTCTGGGGTCTGTGACCAGTAAAAAGGCACAGAGACCGCAGTGATTATAAAAACTTTCCAACAAAATGAAACCAATTAGGGAATGATAAAATTTTAATGATGACGAATTACCGTAATGAAAGTGGAAGCAGTCTACCCCCCCACCCCACCCCCCCCCCCCCCCCTCACGGCTGTGAGCGGGTGCAGACGGAGCAGATCGTGGAGTCAGTGAAGCAGAACATCATGTTTACATTGAGAACTGGCCCACTGCACCATTCTCACAGAATCTTTTGTATTCTTTTTTTTAATCTTATGCCGTGGCCTGAAGTGGCGCCAAATGATCAGCTGAAGGGTTAGATGGCAGTCTATTGAAAGTTAAAGAGCTGCTCTGCTTGAAGAAGTAAGCGAATCAGGGGGCACGGGGCATGTGGAACGGCCACATGTACACTGCAGAGAGGGGATAACTTCGCTTTAAGCAGGTTCGGGTCATTTTCCAAGAGAGATGGTGTGGATGCTGGGCTGGTAGACACATCCAGAACCATCTGTCTGTGATCAGACTGGCCGTATTAATAAACACAGAGTCCCCACATGCAGGGCCGCGTGTCTCATGTTCAATGTAGCGGAGTATTGGAAGCAGTGGGCTTTACACATTTAGGAAACGATAAACCCATTTATATCTTTTAACTCTGGAGTGATGTGACCTTGTTATGTTGAGAGGCGGCTGGTTGGATGGAAGTTTGAGAGATGTTCGTCCAATAGCCGATGATATTGGTTTTTCTGGGTGCCATATGTCTCATACCAAAAGCTCTTTGATATCCAGCCTGTTTTTTTTGTCCCTTTTAACAAGTGCTGTTTGTTAAACAAAGACCATCCTGCTCAGAAAGCTTAGCCATGTAGCAGTGATGCCTTGTTATTGGGACATTGGAACCAGAAAGAAAGTTCTGGAAAATGTCTTGCCTGGTGCGGCTCTCAAACTACGTAGTGATGCTTCTGGTCAGCATACTAATAATAATAATAATTGATACTTTATTGATCCTCCAAGGGAAATTGTCTTTACGCCTCCCTCAACTTGCTCTTTTTTGTAGAGTAAGTTGTCCGCGAAGGGCAGCTCTTGATGGTGCAGGCCTACAGAATCTTGGCAGCCAGTTTGAACATCTCAAGCATCCGGAGCTAGTGGAGGCGTTGATATGCCTTTTTAACAAGGGCGTTCGTGTGCGTTGTCCATGACAGTCCTCTGTAATGTGGACACCAGGTATTTGAAAGTGGACACCTTCTCCACAGGCTCCCTGTTGATGGTGAGTGGGTTGTAGTTCCTCACCTGTGCCGTTCCCAAGTACACAATCAGCTCATCCGTCATGCTGAGGTTCAGGAGGAAATTGCTTTCGTGACACCAGCTTCCTGTTGTCCACCTCCTTCTGGTAGGTAGTCTCATCATTATCGAAGATCCCGACCCTCGAGGACTGTGCTGTCAGCAAATTCGACAGTGGTGTTGCGGCCGAATGTTGCCACACAATCGTGCATGTACAAGGAGTAGTGTAGGGAGTTGTGGAGATGGAGTTTTCTCCTCCGTCATTCCATCCATAATCCTGTTAACAAGTGTCCAATTTTTGAGGGGACAGCGTCGCATGTATTCTGCACGCCACATTCACGTTTTTATTTTATAGTACTCCAGACATCTTTACAGAATTTTCCTTAACAGCAACACCTCAGTCACCCTCCATTAAATTGAAAAAAGCCTCAGGATCAGCCTACGCACCTGTAGTGCGTTCAGGAAGTCTGTAAATTGCCGGCTTGTATCAATTTCAGGGGTAGCAGGATCATGTTGCTGTGGACCAGCCCTTTCCTCCAAGGTTTACTGCCAGACCTCAAAAGCCACCAGTCAGGCCTGATTACTCGGAGTCGGAAAGCCAGAGCTGCGGCCTCGTTATCCTCTAACGACCTTCTGAGTTTGCTTTATTTGAATTTGAAGTTCTTTCTCTCAAAGCCCCACCCCCCCCCCCCCCCCCGAATGCACAAACTCGCAAGAATATATCACTGTCTCAAGGCAAGAAGATCGATACCAATTCACCACTGGTTTTGTTAAAGTCTCGCAGGGGAAGAGGAATTAAATCAATTTTTGTTTTGCGTGAGGCGAGTTCTCCCATGTTTCCCTGGAAGGCTCACTAATGCTTATGTTTGTGTATAAGAATCCCTCTCGTATTAATCACTGGCTGGGTTCATTTGCATGTCTACACATGTGATTTGTTTAGGGAGCTGTGCGTGGTGTCAGTGCATATTCTGTGTCTACAATCTGTCCCATCCGCACCCTTCCCTGCATTAAAGTGGCTCGTACTGAATCCGCAAAGCAGGGCGCAAATTTAAGGGCTTTTTATTCATGGAAGCTTAGGGGAGAGCTGTCTGAAAGAAATGCGCAGCCAGGCAATAATTTAGTCAAAATATAAAAAACAGCCTGTTTGTGAATTGCCAGAGTATGAATTGGAGGCTATGGTTATTTAGCTAAATGATGATGTCTAATGATTATTTAATATGGAATACTTTAATTTTGAATAACATGCTTTATCGAGTTTGTTGCTGGTTTTGAGAGTGACTGTAGTTCACTGTTTATCACCCGATCTTAACCTGAGCTGATGTCCCTGCGTCACGGTGTCAAGCCGACTGTCTCCCCTTTGTGGGGTCTCACGCAGCTGTATGCGGCCGCCCGGTCGTGCGTTATCTCCGACTTCCCTTGTGTCACATACCACTCCCCCCCCCCGCATGCGAAAATGGGCAGAGATTTATAAAGATGGTCGGCACTGCTCCTTTCTGGTGGTGCAGGTGGTACCTGTGACTCTGTATTCCCAGGAAATCGCTGCTCATCTGCTGGATCTCGCTCCGGTGTGGTCCGTCAGCTGAGTGGATATAGTGGCAGGGGCTCAGTTGTCTCGGAAAGAGAGACTTGTCTTAAAGAAGTGCTGGATGATTCATCTCCCTCGGCTGCAGTACTGTGGGGAGAACACACATGCACACACTCTCACACACATGCACACACTCTCACACACATGCACACACTCTCACACACATGCACACACTCTCACACACACGCACACACTCTCACACACATGCACACACTCTCACACACACGCACACACACATTTGTATTCATATATTAATGGGGACTGTCCATTCATTTCTATGGGCATAACACTAATCCCAACCTCGACAACCTTCACCACTACCCAACCCTAACCTTAACCATAACTAGCCAAATACAAGACTTTTGGCATTTTTAATTTTTTGATTGCAATCACAGATTTTTATAAAATTGAGTTTCCTTTGTGGGGACAGTGAAAATGTCCCCACAAGGTAAAAAGTTACACAATTTGGGAAAATCAGGTCCCCATAATGTAATAATTAAAAAATGCTTAGATTTGTTTTGTTTTCTGGTCTACAACCCATTCAAATTTTTGAAATATTTTTCCTTGGAGAACGGGCTGCTGGCCACCAGGTGGCAGAGCGGTTAACGGGATGGTTGTCCTCTCCCATCAGCCTCTGCTCTTTCGACTGCCTGGCAACAGGCTCCAAAACCCGCCCATTTTAGGTGAGAACAGCTTGGGTCTGAAGACGCCCCCTTGCTCCCTGGTGTCACGGCTTTCGAAGAGACCTCCTAAAAAGACCTAATAGGTTCCAGGCGCTCGCTTGAAGCCTCAACACTGTGCTAACAGCTACAGACAGCCCATAGATTGTTGTGGGCAGTGATGTTGAGCATGAACCTTCAGCTTGGGTTTGACTGCACATCACTAGGAGAGCAGGTCTGCTTTTACAAGCCACGGGGGCTGCCTGAGCAGTCAGTCACATGGCGAATAGCATTCTCACAAGAGCCTCCTCCCCTAACATAATCAACGTCCGTGGTGTCAGCTATTCACAGACAGTGATTAAAGGCAGTGATTACTCTGCCTCTTGCTCACAGACAATGGTACAGAGAAACTTCTCCCAAAGTTATACGAAGCTATTAAAACTGCAAATACTAGAATAACGACCAAGCAAGGTATCTGTAAATAATGGCCTGGCACACTTGTAGGAGTGATTACTGGCTGATATCGGTGTGCCGTAGAGGGATGCGTTGAAGTAATCCATTTAAATTATGTTTACTGTTTAAAGTGGATTTTGTAAATGAAGCAGACTTGTGGAATGAGACAGGAAGGAGGTCTATCAGTGCAAGGAACAGGTGGTATGCCCCAGGTCAATGGGACCCAGGGAAGGTCACCATGCCAACTCACCCTGCAAGAAGCCTCAGATGTGCTCCTGCAGGAAATGGGCTTTAAATGTTTTTCGGCCACAGGACAGGAACATTAAGATGTGTGATTGCATTCCTGCTGTTGGACGTGTTCTGAATTATAATATCGTCACATGTGGGCTCACAGATTAAGAGTCCTGTTTTGCTGCACGCTTGTCTATGACGCTGGATTCCTGCTGTAGGACTTTGGCTCTCAAGTGTGACATTAACTTAGTCTTACTTTTTGTTTATTTTTGTTTTTTTTTTAAAAAAAGGCAAACTACTCGTTAATAAAGACTCTTCTCTTGAAGGAGCTGTTTAACGGCGATGTATGAATTTATATTTTGTCACGCCTAGTTTAACATGGCTAATTTAAAAGTCTGCTACAGCAGTGAGTATATGAATGTTTCCTGGAGGAAGAACTGAGATACCCAGCTATATGCAGAGAAACACGATATGAGGCCATTCCTTCACTTGTGGTTGATTTGTTATCAGGCTTTATGGTGTCATACTCCAGGTGAAGCAACATAAATCAGGCACGTCCCTCCCCTCTTCCCTAAAGGACACCTGTAGAGTTTGACAGGCTCCAGGCAGCTGGGAAAATCATGTCTGTAACAGAACATCTGGCAGGCTGATGTCACTGTGAGCCCCCGGAGCATCACGGACTTTGAATTAACACCCTGTACTTATTGGGCTCCATGGGCACCGGAGGATTATTCCAGCCTGTGTGAGACGTATGAGTTTAGGGTGTAATTGTCGGCTCTGTGTGGATAAGCTAGTGGACGCTTCTGAAAATCTAAGAGCCTGGAGCCCAAAATATTAAGAACGGAGATGGAACCAGTGCTAATTGAGACGTGGTGAGTCCTGAGAGGTGGCGCCGGTTCTGCTGGGGTGACTGTCAGGCGGCTCAGCGGTGATGGACCTATGCTTGTGACCAGAATGCTGTTCTGCTGTTGGACGGTTGGGTGGGAAACTCGACCCTGGTTGAATCTGCAAAACACAAACAGGAATATAAACGACGCGGCGAGCTGGTCCCTCCTCAGCAGATGCCGTTTTTCCTGGTTTATCCTCCCCTTTCCTCTTGTTTACTGTTTGTTGAGGCCTTCAGGTTTTAGGGATTCTTCACCAGAAGGATGAGTACCATAGTAATAATACCATGCTGTCATGCAGTAAAATGTGGCACACTTTCTTTATGGGTGATAAATATGGAGCAGCCAGGCCCAGAAGATGAGGCTGGGGGAATTTGGAGGCCAAGTCAACACTTTAGACGACCTTCTTCCATTGCTCCCATTGCTCCATGGTCCAGTTCTCACGCTGATGTGCCCATTGTAGGTGTTTTCAGTGGTGGACAGGGGTCGGTATTGGCACTCTGACCGGTCTGCGACAGTGATGCGCTGGGTGACACCTTTCTATTACCTATTCTATCGAGTTTTTCAGCATTTTTTGTGCTACAGTAGCTGTGCTCTGGCGTAGGACCAGACAGGCTTGCCTGTGGTGAGCCTTGGGAGCCCATGACTCTGTCACCAGTGCACCGGCTGGCTTTCCTCAGACCGCTTTTGGTAAGTACTGACTGCATACTGGAAATACCCCACAAGATGCTCTGACCCAGTCATCTAGCCATCAAATTTAGCCCTTGTCAAAGTCAATCAGATCATTATACTTGCCCATTTTTCCAACTTCCAACACAACAACCTAAAGAACTGACTGTTCACTTGCCTAATTTATAATGACACCTTTGACCATTGTAACGAGATAATCAATGTTATTCACTTCAGCAGTCAGTGGTTTTAATTTTATGGCTGATCAGTGTAAGCAGAACTCCCTAAACAGGGCAATGTCGCCCCCTGGAGTTACAGCAAGGGATTAATCTCTCTGCTCAGTGGCTGAGCCCAGAACATGGTTTTGATCCCAAGTTGGCGGTAGAGCTGACCATGGCATGCAACATCAGGGAAGCAAAGGCTTATGGGTATCCACCGCCTCTTTCTCCATGGGGAGATGGCCGGGGTCTCTCCCTCATTATCCTTTCCGTGGTTTCATTATTATCTGGCTTATTGCTTGGAAGAAAAGTCGTGATTCTTGGGGACATAAAATTACTTGTCGAGGAGCCGGCAGTGTTCTGCTGGAACTGAATCTGCTGGCGCCGTGTTAGATTTGGCCATCGACCTCACAGGCCTGTGATCCAGTTCAAGCAAACAATCTCTCTTTGTCACCTCCTGTTAGTCCATCCATCCATCTTGCGGCTGCTTGTCCAGTATAGGGTTATCTGGGGCCTAGGGCACCAGGCAAGGTTCACCCTGAATGGGATGCTGGTCCACTGCAGGGCGAGAACACAGTAAGCAATTTGGAGACAAGAATCAACATTACAGTGTGACTTTGGACTGGGGAAAGTAGCGTAAGAAAAGCCACACAAACAGATGGGGAGGATGGAGACCTCACACACATGAGAGCCAAGACCCTCCCCATGGATACACGAGCACATTGGCTGGATCTGTTTAATTATCATAATCACGTACTACATAGTAAGGTTCTTGTCTGTGTGTTGGAGAGCACTGCATTCCGGGAAACCCAATCAAAAAAAGGCTAACTGGCAAATCTGTTACATGGCTTCAGTGAACAGATGCTTATGGTTCGCTTTTGCATTTTCATGCTGGTGAGTGTCAGAAGACGCTCGTTGGATTTTGCTTTTGAATCGGCTGTGATAAGGAAGCTTCTATCTGAAGGGGCTTCCCACAAGCCAGTCCTCAGAATCCAGGAAATATTTGTGCAATGCTGCAACATTGACCTTAAAAACAAGCGGGTGAGCTTTATAATGCTGCATGGCCGTCGTGGCTTTTCCACGTGAAACAAGGCACTTTTGCCTGACGTTACAGGTGAGGGCTTCCGGCTAATTCCACGAGCCGCACCTCACCTCATGAAGCTCAGGTATGACATGCTCATCTCTTCAAGTCCCTGCCTGGTGTTACGACCTTGACCAGACCCAAAAGATGACCTCAACACATCTTAAAATGTCTCATAATTTATTTGACCCATAGACAACAGAAAAGGGATGTGGCCAAAACAACAAACAGAACTCCAAATGCTAACTGAAACAAAATAAGCCACTAACTAACCTATTTCCAAAACAAACATGGAAAGAAAAGAACACAACACAAACCTACTACTACCTCCCTAACTAACCAAAACACATGCATAAAAATCCCCCCCTGAAAACAAAGCCCCCCTTTTCCTACAGGGTCTATCCCTGGAAGATATAGCTGTGTGTTAAGTGTGACAAAGTTCTCCTACCTGAGAGCTTAATACAATAAAGACAAACCAAGCAGAAGTACCAGCAACAACAGTATGCCTGAAGGGACTGGGGCCAAACACCACAAACAGCATCACACAGGTCAAACACAGAGCCCCCCCCTCTCTAAAGAGCTTCACTTCCTCTTCCTTATATCTTCTAGCACCCCCCCTACAGGCCAATTGGACAATAGCACCATCCACAGGCCATGGGAGAGAGAGAGAGATGGCATGCAAGGTGCATACACAGAAGCCGTCACACTTGGTCAACAGCTTTTTCTGTTTTGCTGTAAAACTCCTTAAGAGATTAGTGTTTCGTACTGAATTCTAAGAAACACTGCATAAGGCTGCAGCATTTATGGCTTGACTTTAGTGCAGCCGTGTATGTGATTTGGTCATTTCTCTTAATACATGTTTTTATTTCTCTGTAAGATTTCAACATTGCAGCCTGGAGTCATGCATGAAGTCTAAGCTTCACTGGAGTACAGCAGCAGGAAGTCGGGTTTAATGACAGCCCTCTGTCACACCCCCCCCGCCCCAGTGCACCCTGGTTTGATATATGTTCTCTGGTTTGCCTGAGCACACTGGTGCTGTGAGATCTCTTATACTGGCCCAGAGAGCACTTACACAGTGTGATCTGGGAGTAATATATGAGTTCTTCATACAATCAATCAATATATTTTTAACAATGTTCTCAAGACTTGAGGAAAACCTGGCTGAAACTACATAATGTAATGATATAATCCAGTGGTTAGAGGGCACCAATCCTCCCTCCTCTCTGCCGTGCCCCCGCCCTCCCCCTTCTCTGCCGTTCACCCCGCCCTCAGACGCCATTCGTCCCTCAGAGCTAAGCGAGCCCCCGCCTCAGTAAACTGAGCCCCTGCTGAGGAGGTCGAGCTCATTAGAGTACATAATCAAAGATGCAGTGTGATCAAAGTAGCAGGGGCGGGGGGGGTTTGGACGGTGGCCCTGGAAACCCGGAGACCTGCCTCTGATCAAGCGGCCTTGCAGACATCACAATAAACATGGAACTGAGTGAACGACGTCTCTGAATGCTTTCGATTTTAGGAAAAAGCCACAGATTGGAAAGGCTTTCCAATTTGGCCTGGAAACCTTCCGTTAGCTTTTACAGGCAAGCTGTTGGGGTGGGGAGAGAGATATTGCAGGTACCCCTTTGTTTGGTGATTATGGATGCGATGGGGTATGTGTATGAGCTCCTGACAGGAGCGGGCACATCGTTATTCAGCCTGTAATTTCTGACCCTGGATGTGTTTCATGTTTATGTCAGTGAATCTCTACCCTCTGGTTTTTATATGCGCTGCCTGAAATATTTATAGATGAAGCAACATGCATACACATGGTTAATTCTGCCACATTTGCCACAAGTCATGGAATTTTTGGAAAATAACCCCATGGTAAAAAAAACATTCCTTAATGATACAGGTGTAAAGAACTAAGCAAAAATGTTTCTTTCCAAAAACTGGTCTATGCAAAGGATTCGATTAAATTTCTCTTACAAGGTCTGTGTCACGGTGAAGTTTCTGCCCCCTAATGACAAAGGAAAGAATATTCCGGTGATTGACGGCAGCAAGCGAGCATGCTGGGAGTGGGCCAGGCTTTTCAAAAAAAAAGGGGGCTGTATTTTGTACTGATTTAAAGGTTTCAAGATACCAGTAGTAAAGGACTAAATCAGTTTTCTGAGTACATCTTAGGAGCTGTTTGCCTCAGATATACAACAGAAGGGCATCAAGAAATGTTGGACATACTTTTACTGCAGTACAGAATATTATTATTATTATTATTATTATTATTATTATTATTATTATTGAGTCCATCATGTTGATACCCATCCTCTTCCTCTTTTAACTTCAAATTTTATAACGGACGTGATCTTTTATAAATAAACCAGGGGGCCCTTCCACAAAGCTGGATTTCCCAGTTAACTGGATAACTTAAGCCAAACCTGAGAACTGTCCAATAGGAGGAGAGGTAAGTGACATTCTCATTGGACAGTCCTTACATTTGGCTTAAGTTATCTGGCTAATGCAGAAATCCTGGAATACCCACTATGTCTTCCCATAGTAAGCCCAAAATAAGATGGCTTCAATCTGCCTATTTTTGCTTTGAATAAAGGTTCAGGGTTAATTTGATCAAGAATCTGGCTTTTTTTCTTCTTCTTGTCCTTGGTGTGTTGTCAGCGCCAGAATTCAAAGGCAGACTGTCCTACTTCTTCATAGCCCAGCTTTCACATCAATGAAAAGTCACAATTATTATTTTAGTTCATTAAGCTGTCAGCAGGTTATTCTTCTAGATCTTCCATCAAAGCTCTGTCAAGGTGCTAGTCTGCAACATTTTTCTTGACTCCTGGATCATTTGTTCTTGACCTTCACTAAAGTAAAGTTAGCTGTCCATCTCATGGTTGTTTTCTTCCCATTTACCTGCAGTCCCAACTCTGTTTCCCAACCCAGTCCTGGAGGATCTCAAGACGGTCCACATTTTTGTTCCCGCTGAGTTCTGTACCGGAGCAAAAAAAAGTGATAGGGAGCTGGGCTGGAGCAAAAATGTGGACTGTCTTGAGATCCTCCAGGATCAGATTCTCTAGGAGGCGAAGATGCAGGATGTCAGTCAGCTATCAGCGACCCCAGGTCTCAGCTGGAGATTGTGTCCGTAAATCTAAGCCTAACCCTAAACCTAGCCCTAAACATAAC